ACTTAGACCCTTTGATTTTTCAGGATTGAAAACTCACTTTAAACAAAAAAAAATCTCGGATTTATGTAATACCCATTTGATAACGTAAATCGGAGATAATGGGAAGCAAACCTAACCGTGGGCTTCAACCCCCTTAAAACCAAACATGACTAAACTGTTTCTAAGTTATTCAAGATGAGCTTTGGGTGGGCTGGCTATTCACTCATATGTGAACAATTAATCTTCAGCTTTATCTTTTCACTGAGACTTTTCTTTTTTTGTGCAGATAAGGACACTCCTGAGGCAATCTAGTGCCCTTGTTGCTCAACAACTAACTATATGAGAAGGTTGGTAGCTGTCACACATTTTTGCTAGGGAATAAAGTAGACCTAATAAGTCCTATGGACACCTAAAAAGAGGAGATATAGAGAGTTACAAAAATGAAGATAGACTTTGAATCATTCAACTTAGTTATGTCATTAAATTAACATCATTAATCACTTGATTAGATCTATGTTTTTTAGTGCATGGTCAAGTACACCGCCAATGGGAAGCTTTGGTTCTTCTATTCCTCCAAGCTAAAGTTAATTTTTTGGTGGGCTATGATGGTGGCCTGCTGAAATCATGATATCCTGTGGACACAATTAGCCGCAAATTGTGGCGTGGCCATCAATATACCTTATCAAATAATTGAAGCGCAAATTCATATTCAAAAACCATTTGCCTCTCTTCTGCTTTCTGATCGAAAAGACCCTTTGGTCTTACTTTTTTGTTTTTGATTTGTATATTCTTGATTATTGTGGGGACTCTATGCACGTTTTCTCTATATAATTACAGCCCGTGACAATTCTCGATCACATTTTGATCTGAATCGGGCCCGAAATTCAGGAAAATTACTTGGATTCTCCCTTCTTGTTGGTTAATTTTGCACGTGATTGATGTCCATACCTAATCGATAGTTATACATCTACTAAAAGACAATTTTTAAGTGTTTTTACTTTTAAAAAGAATGAATCTAAACTTGTTAACATATGGTATGATACGTTACATATCAATTTACTATGATTGCATCGAAAATTCTATCCGCATGCATATCCACCATTTGACATCGCCCGATGACCACCCGGGTCGACCCGATGAGCACAACCCGAAGTGTAATTTGATACCGTTCGACTAACGCCTCTCTTCATTTTACATGGATTCTCTAGATGAATGGACTTGGTAGTGCCCTTACCATGTATTTTACTTTAACCTCCCAAAAGGGTGTCATTTAATTCTTAATCCAACTACTTTCTGGCTGCTGAAAACTCGAATGTGAAATTGAGCTTGGGGATTAGTCCAAGCTTTTCGCCTTTTTCTGATCTTTGAACAACTTTTGGTGGCTCTCAACGACCAAGTCCCAAAAGTGAGAGTTGGTTTTCTTTCTCATCATTTCGAGGTTGCATTTTCCCCCCCACCCCTTTCTTTTTGCCTCCTTGGGATTTGATGATTGCCTGAAATTTTGTATTATTGTTGACCAAATAAAAGAAAAAAGTAGGGAAAATTTTATAAAAAATAAATAAAGGGGGGGAAATTAATTATTAATTTTGTTCTAAAAAGGCCTAATTATCATTATCTGATTGAACAGATGAATGGGCTGGTGAAGAATAATCCCACCAAGTGATACGATCTCACACGTAAGGAATCCGATTGTGGACACAAACCTAATCGATGTGAGTCATGAGGCCCTGGATTTAAACCTCTTTTTTGTAATTCTCTATACTCAAATCAAATCACGTGTCAAATTCTACTCCTAATCTTGTCTTTCCTCTTTACCCCCTTGCTTAAACCATACTCATGCTCACTAAATTAATGAGAAATTCTTTACAAAAAAATTTATAGGCGGAACAAACGTCGCCGGGGCAGATTCGTGAGAATCCGAACTTCTGGGGGGGTTTGAATAGAAAGTTTCATTAGGGTGAGAGCGACATCGCTGTATTTGCAATTATAACCCTGGAATTTTGCCAACCTAATAAAGTTAATGAAACTTATAGCTCTAGCCTCCAGCCACCAAACAAGGAGGCTGTTCCCATGGTGCTAACGTTTACCGACTCGATGTAGCCGTAATCAAAGAAAGGAGGAAAAATGAATTAAAAAAAATTTACAAAAATAAGAAGACAATATACCAGTCAAAAGAAGAAAGGAGAAATTTAAAAAAAAAATGTAATTAGGTCAATTTCATAGTTGGAAGCATCTTTTGAAATTACTTGAAAGTGTAGGTCCTCATATTTATAAATCGATTTCACGTCTACATTCTCCTGAGTCCACAATGTCAATGTGAGGAATGATTATTTTTAGAAGAATGATCATAATAATTTTAATTTTAATGAATAAAATAAAAACAGTGTTCGACAAATAAACAAAGTGGGAAAAAACAAGAAGAGATATGGTAATGAATGACCATATTGAGACCAAAAGGCGTCACATGATTCCGGAAATTGGACGGTGACGTTTGGTGCGTGTCAGCTCATGGAAAGCTTGTTTGCTTACACTCATAATTAAGCATTAGAGAAAATTTATTTTACTTCAAAATACTATATAAATTTCATCACGCTATAAAAGAATTTATGCGCATTTTCGTATTAACGTTTATGTACTGTGAAAGTTTAAAGATGCTATTGGCTTAAAAGAAAGTCAAAGTGCATATATCCCAGAATTTTGGATTAAGCAAAAAATAGGAAATAAAAATCAAGCGAGACATCTCAAAACTCAATTAAGACGGATAAATAACCAATTCTTAAAATGTGGGTTGACCCCATTGATTATATAAGACGTGTGTGAAAACACGAGTACACAATTTAATATGATTACTTATATTTGGTGGTGCGTGGAATCGAACTCAAATCATTTGTCTAATCACCATATAGTTTCGTTTTGTAACTATTAATTAATGTCTAGTCGTCACTTCAAACCAAAAAAGAAAATGTCTAATTATCACTTATTTATTTAGGTACTGTTCTCGTTTTTCCTGACCTCGAATTAATTTTTTCTGTCTAATATCAGTGAATGCTTGAGATTGTAGATCTAACAAATGTGTTGTACAAATTCAATTTTTCAATGCACATAGATCATCGCTGGGCAAAGATTTGATTCCGATTGTATGGTTCCGTTTGTTTCGTGGAAAATAAATAATTTAAAAAATATTTTCCTAAAAATGATCGGCTTTATTGATTATAATAATTAGTTAATGAAAAATATTTTTATTACCGACGACAATCATTTAATTCTTGCGAAAGTAAACAGAACCATTTTATGCACCTTGGTGAATTCAATCACAAAGGCGCGATTTAAACATCATACGTATCTAACTTTTAAGTTTCATACATGCAATTTGAAGCGTTATTTATAGAAATGATTTATTTCTTTTTTGGATCTTATGACTCGATTGAATCAATCGAAAGATTTAAAATTTAATTATGCACATCCATTGCATATTTTTCCAATTAAAATAAAGAGTTAATACCACGAAAAATCACAAATTGATGTACCTGTGACAAATTTACCCTAAAATAATCTTTTGACCACTAAAAATCCCAAAATGGTACATCTGTGGCAAAGTTAACTTCCGTCAATTTTCGTTAAATTTTACCATCAAACCGCTAAGTTGGATGACACGTGTTAATTGACGGATGTACCAGTTTAGAGTTCTAACCTTCGTTTGTCATCGCTTTATGGTTTTTCATGACATCAATTTAATTTAACGAAAACTAACTGAGGATAATTTATCATAAATGTACCGATTTGAGATTTTTAATAATCAAAAAATTAATTTGAAATAAATTTATTATAAATGTATCAGTTCGGAATTTTTCGTATCATTATCTCTGAAAATAAATTTGACTTTCAAGATTCTCTCACCCCCTCTCAAGGGGGTGGGTCACACCACGTGCGGGGTCACATGTCGACTCCGGTCAAAATGGCGGTGCCAGTAAAATACACGTGTAAGCCTCGTGTTCCAAAACAGACAAATAAACAAACAAATTATTAAGCGGAAGTTTGAATCGCTGACCACCATCTTCCTCCTCCTCCTCCTCCTCCTCTCCCTTTCTCTCTCAACATCACTCACCAAGAAGGCATGTCCCCTCTCTCTCTCTCTCTCTCTCTCTCTCTCTCTATCTTTCCCCTTTGGATTTGCCCATACATGACTGCAATCGGTGGTCTTCGGCTGACTTCTCTCCCCCACACCACCGCCCCCACCCCACACATGGCAGAGTCCTCCATCATCCCCCACCTTGATGTCTCGTGATTTGGGTAATTAACATCGAAAGTCAACATGTATTTTTGTCGTAGAGAGGAGGACGATCGGCAGGTGTGAGATGAACATGTCGACCGAGTAATCGGGGCGAAGAGATTATACGGTATCGATCTTCTGAAGGGTTGGTCGATGTCTAGGGATGCGGAACTGATGAAGTAAGTGCGCGAATTTTCGAATGTGCAAGTCCAATGTCCGAACACATGATGGGAGAAATCAGTCGACTTTCTGAAAAGATCTTAGTATTTTCCATAAGGGTAAGATTATAGTTTGTGTAAAGAGTATTTTCAAAAAATAATAAGCCAATGGAGTGTCGGAATTGTCATCTTAATTAACTATCTTTTATGTTTGTGTGTGTCTGTATATATAGGTTGTGAATTGTGATAGATGAAAGGAATATATTTAGGAAAAATATGTGGTGTGTATCATGTAAGTAGAGTGGATAGCTAGGCACCATTAATAAATTGCAAAAAGTGGTCAAGATAAGAAATCTTGGACAAAGTCCAAGTTCAACAGATAGGACGGTTGTGTATGGAATGGAGATGTTTCCACATTAGAAACCACTTATTTTTTGGCACGGTGTTTTGTCAACCTTCTCCGTAAAGTGACAATATGGCGTCTCATTCAAAGCTTGAAAACCCTCCTCCATCTCCCAATATAAATCACCACCACAAGAAAGAGAAGAAACCTAGTGAAAGTCATCCACCCCAAACCAGAGAATTTACACAAAGACTTGAAGAAACCTCTCTTTCAAACAACTCTTCTTCTTCTTCTTCTTTCTTCTCCTCCTCCTCCTCCTCCTCCTCTTCTTTTGCTCCTTCCACATGTCTGATGAGCATAGAAACCCTAGTTATTACTATGACCCTTTCCAGAGCTCCCATTTCTCCTCTGCTTACAATGATCATCCATACATGAGCTTCACTGATTGCTTGCAAGGGTCTGGTGACTACAACTCATTGGAAACGGCTTTTGGCCTGTCGCCAGCGACTTCCGAGGTTCTTTCGTCGGTCGAGTATGGCCACCAGAAGCAGGAAATAGGAGGCGGTAGCGAGAGTACCAATCACAACCCGGCAACACCGAACTCTTCGATCTCTTCTTCTTCTACTGAAGCCGGGGGCGAGGAGGATTCAAGCAAAGGCAGGAGATCGGAGACCCAGTTGAAGGAAAGTGAAGATGGAGGAGAAAGCTCTAAGAAACAGTAAGAAGTTTCTCCTCTTTTATCTTTCTGCTCTTGCATATAATAAGATGGAATCAACTTTGATTGGAGTCTCAAACAACACATGTTCTCGTGTACCTAGACTTGCATAATTACCCGCGAATCAGTAAATCGATCTTATTCAAAACCTTAATATGAATGATCTTGTGTATTTCTTTTTGTGTGGTATGATCTTGTTTATGCAAAGAATCACCAAGTAGGCTTTCCTTGGTCCATGCATACTCGATTCAAGCAAGGTCATTTACTGTGCCGTGACTCAGAAAACTTTGTACTTTTTTGCATGATTTAAAGTTAAATTATTTGTCATGTGTAGAGTAATTACATCCAAATATGCACGTGTTTTGTTTGCAATAACATGTTACATGCTTTTGAGAAAAATACAGGAGCAAAAAGAAGAAGGGAGAGAAAAGAGAGAGAGAGCCCCGCTTTGCCTTTATGACCAAGAGTGAAGTTGATCATCTTGAAGATGGTTACAGGTGGAGAAAATACGGCCAAAAGGCTGTAAAAAATAGCCCTTACCCAAGGTATGTTTGGTCTCTCTCTCTCTCTCTCTCTCTCTGTTGCTTTTGCTCCTCATCTTTTAGTCCACAACAAGATAACAAATTGGACGTGCATACAGACACATTTGGCAAAAGGCAACAACAACAACTTGTCCTTTCAAAGATTTTATCCTAAACTATGTTCCGCTTTTTCTTCCTAAAAGTTCACATTACACCAACTTAAATTTTATTTCAATTTGGGCCATCAAAGTCAATCATAACCCTCCTCAGATAATTCCAAGAAATCAATCTAGCTTCCTAAAAATAATTCTGAAACCTGCATTTTCTATTTGCTCTTTGGTTTGTCTCTATTTACAGGAGCTACTACAGGTGCACCACACAGAAATGCACTGTGAAGAAGAGAGTGGAGAGGTCATTCCAAGACCCATCCATAGTGATCACTACCTACGAAGGCCAACACAACCATCCGATCCCCGCGACGCTCCGGGGGAGCGGGGCCGGGATGTTCACGACGTCCATGTTCGCGCCCACCGCGGCGATCCCAGGCTACAACAACCCTCAAGAGATGATGTTTCAAATGCCTCACATGATGACAACAAACCAAGGTGGTGCAAATTTTGCTTATAACCCTCAAGCTTTGACTTCAGCATATCACCACCATCATCAGCAGCAACATAACCAAGGCCCACCAGACTATGGACTCTTGCAAGACATTGTTCCTTCCATGTTTTTCAAACAAGAGCCATGATCCAATACTCCATTTAAGTATCTTAAAAAATCCCTCCTAGTTTATTGTATATATACATAAGTATAGCTACAGCCTATAGCCAGTAATCGATTACTACTACATTTTTCTTTTCTATTTCTGACTGGTAACCCTATTTAATTAACTTCATCCTCAATCATATGGTCTCACTTTTTTGGGGTACTTTCACCAAGGGAAATCAAGATTACTTAGATTAAGCCATCGGGGTCATTGGTTAGCTTCATGTTTGCCTCTCTCAGTGAGGAAATTTTGCACCAGCTGCTGGAGAAGAGAGAAGAAGATTAGATTAGATTCAAATGCAGGGTCTTTAAAAATGTTTTGTCTTGTATTAAGGTTTTTATATATCTAGTAGCTTTAAGAGGAGATTATCGATGATGATGATTGTATTGTGATTCATGGAGTCACTCCATATATCTTTGTACTCTCTTTCTGGTGCAACCATTTGCAGTGATTTACGGCTTTTGGACTATGTGAGTTTAGTTTTATTTTTCTTGCTATACAGATCTAGCTCATTATGCTAAGAAAGTGCAAAAAAATCCAAAAAGGTTGGCAATGGCATAACAATCGATCATCTAGAACTTTGTTGAGAAAATGTAGAGAAGTCGCTGTCATTTTGATGTTTTGGTTCATTTTCCGCTTGACAGTTTTGAACTTCTTCAATAAGCACTGTTTGAAATTTTCAACTTGAAGAAGATGAGCCATCCTGCTTTTGTCAAAAAGGTACTACATTAAAGCTTGCATTGGCCTATATATAAATTATAATATAATGTTACATACATATTTTAATATGTATATATAAATATATATAATCACACATTGGTTCTCATGTTAAAGTATGAAGTGAATACAAGACTTTGTCATAGAGTCAATCATTTTAATCTAGTTGGGATTAGAGAAAACATATTTCAGTTTAGAATGATCACATCACACAAGATTGTCGAAATGACATCAAACCAAAGCTATTGACTTGGTACGCATTCGAAAAAATCACCCTCATTCGTATAGACACATTTCAACCCCTATGGGGCTGCAATTGGCTGTTGAAAAACTAAAATTACGTAGTCAAAAGTTAGTAGAATATCATCATTTTATTTGGATAACACATCGATGGAACATATAAGCATTTAGTATGACTTATCTAATGGATGAATGTAAATCGCTCCGACATGCCCATAAGGTAAGACTCTATCTATACGGGCAGTTGGCATGCCTCCTAATATTACTTATCTAATGGATGAAGACGTTGTGATTCGTATACCGGATCTCTCACATTAATATTAGGCACTTAGTAATTAAAATTAGAGCAATGCCACATGGATGTTCTCTTTATACATATAGACTATGTAATCTATAAAGATTCTGCCCCTAGTGTTTTGGTCGGAATGTAAGGAAACTAGTTCGGATTAAGGTAATTACATGCAAACCAGAATCGAATAGGTACTATTATTATTATTGTACTAATTGAAGCAGTACGAAGTCTAGACAGAGGGGCAGCATTTGCTTCTTATTGAAATTTGAATTTCTATCATCCACATTGTGTGAACACTCATCTTACAAGTACAAATGTGCATATTCTAAGCCCTATCTGTACAAATTCTCTGATAGTATATATGACTGAAATCCCATGTAGTAGGTACTCGGTAGAGACTTTTCTTAATTAGGGTTTTCTACGTGTCTATAAAATAATAAATAGATATACATTGAGAGAGTAACTACGCGGATCAGTACCTATCATAGTCACATTCATTTTATGTAAATTTATATCAACTATTGCAACTTGCAACAATGCCAAGGAACAGTTTATCGAGAGCTTGTAGAATTGAACCTGATTGATTATATGTATGTATTTGAGGAAAAAATATTCAAAAAGCTTTAAACTTATTGTACAGCAGCCAATTCAGTTTTAAACATTTTAATTTGACCAATTTAGTCATAAACCATTTGACGACATTTGCAATGTAGTCCTTTCGGCCATTGTTGGCCGAAAATTGCTGATATGGTGGTCGGCCATCCTACGTGACATGAATAGCGATAACATAGACGATTTTTACAATTCTTTTTAGATTTTAAAATTTTTTTAATTTTTTTTTGATTCATTTGTTTACTTTTCTTTCTTTTTTCACTGTTTATCTTCCCAAAAGGACCAGCCGGGGTCATCGGGGCCTTGGCGAGGGTCACGGCGCTCACCCCCAGTGCCAGCCATCGCCGAGGCCTTGGCAACCCCCGCCAACCCTTTTGGGAATTATCAATGAAAAAAGAAAGAATAGAAACTTTTTATAAAAAGTGCATAAAAATATTTAAAATATTTACAAAATCACTCACGTCAATAATTTCCGCCAGTTTTGGTCGGAAGGACTACATTGGCAATTTTTCAAAAAATTTATAACTAAATCGACCAAATTGAAAAGTTTGTGATTGAATTCGCTGCTGTACTATAGTTTATAACTTTTTGGACAATTATGGCATGTATAGGATATCGCATATTAGTTGAGAGAGAGATATATTTTGGTAACTAATTACGTTGATGATCCATAATACAAATTAACTATACTACATCGTGTGCATGACTTCTGAGGTAATGAATGATCGGGAAAATTGTCAACCGGTCCACCGGCTAGAGGGAAGAAAGTAGAAAAAAAAAAGTAAAAAAAGAAAAAAAATATTAAAAAATTGAAAAAAAATAATTAAAAATTGCCAATTTTCCCATGAATGATCTATGTGAGACTCATGCATATCTCATCATTCAGATATACTCCGATCAAGTCAAGAGGAGAAGGTCAGCGCGGATGCACTTTTATTTTACTATTGACCAAAGTAGATACCTAAGAAACATCACGAAATTAAAAATTAATTTGACTTCCTCTCGCTACGAAATTTAAGGTTTGTTAATCTTATATCAAGTAAAGATGACTAGACATAAGCCAAGTCGTTGAGATAGCTATGCAAAATTTTCTTATCTACTTTCGTGAAATCTCGGTTTTGCCCCCAAGAAAAGTAACTCGACTTGGAAACAATTAACACGATCCTACTTTCAAAGTTGGCATGAACATTGTCGAAAGTATAGCTCAAGTTTGAGCTCGTAAAAGAAATCCAATCCAAATAGGTTTCTTTGTTTGAGTAGATTTCTTAGCTGAGTTGTTCTTTAGTTTTAGTAGGTTTGTCTAATAAGGTTTTCTATATTGGATTGTGAGATTTTGTGGAACCACTGCTAACTGTTTTAAAAGTTTTGACCTAGTATTATGCATAGAAATATATAATAGGGAGTCATATAAGGGGCTTGGAAAGATTTAAACTTGGGTCTCCTAATCGATTTTGTGGAACCACTACCAATTATTTTAAAAGTTTAAGTTGTTACGTGAAGTTATGGTTTAATATTTATATAAAAAGTGTGTCTTCTTCTTGAATTGTATCTATGAGGAGTTTTTGGTGTGCAAGCCAATCAATCTTGTGGCAAGATATGTCCTTCATAAGACTAAGAGATTGTTTAGCAATGAATTATGAGGGCTAAATATTGAGTGATTCGAGTGTAGTTGAATCTTTGATGTGTTGTTTGATCTATAGTGGAATGTTCTTCCAGTGGAACAGTTTCCATCGATCAAGTACAAAATCCTTTTGTTCGATTTCATTCTTTGTTCTATTTATTTTTGTGCTCGATCAAGTGTTTTTTTTTTTGCAACAAATAGAGTGCTAAAATTGCATAATATACACATAATTTTATTGGTCCTTGCTCAAAACTACGATTTCTTTTTCCATGTCAGTAAATTTTAATAAGCGAAACTGAGTGACAAAAGCTACTAATACTTGCACTCAGAGAGATCGCTAAGAAGGAGCTGAGATCTGAGCCTGGTCTAGCTAGACTTACCTTTACTAAAAAATTTAAGTCATGAATCATGGGCCAACTATGTATATTAACTACTCCACACAACACCAATTCTCTAAGGGTCCATTTGTTTCGTGGAAAATATTTTCCTCATTTTCTAGTGTTTGTTCGCTAAGGAAAATGAGTCAGCGGAAAATGTTTTTAATACCAAAGCTTAAATTTAGGAAAATGATTTTCTCTTTGAAAGAATTGGAAAACATTTTTCAAAAAATGACTAGGTATCAATTCTTGGACTCGAAACTCTACTTTTGGGCACAAAAACCCCAACGTTGGTTCCCGATGTTGAGGACTAGGTCTCTGGCGGCCGGGCCCAGATCCAACCCCAGCGCCCATGCCTAGGTCCATTGAGGCCGAATCCGAACCCTTGGTGCCTGTACCCAATGCTTTGGCACCCGAGCCAGAGTCATTAAAGGTCATGCTTGGGTCCCTAACGCTCGAGCACTCGTCCCAACCCTTAGGCCCAGGACAACAATGGTCGTGCATGGGTCTTCAGTGCTCGGGCTCGAGTGATAGGATGGAACATTCGTTCATATAAAAATATTTTTTTATTTTGAAAAAAAATCCAATTTTTAATTATTTTTATTTTTCTAAAAAATTCGAATTTGTAATTATTTTTTTTATGTTTTCTTTCTTTTCTTTCTTTTTCTTTTTTTCTTCTTCCTTGGCTGGCCGTAGGCGAGCTTGAACCTCACCTAAGGTTGGTGGCGACCGGAGGCAACAAGCGGCGACCGACAATTGGAAACCGGCGACATTTGTGAATGACCAGCACCAACTGGTCGAGGAAGAAGGAGAAAGAGAAAGAAAAAAAGAAAAGGAACAAAAAGAAAAGAAGAGAATAAAAAATAAAAAAAAATTCGATTCTATTGGTAATTTTCCCCAAGAAAATCAAATCAGATTTTCCATATGAAACGGCAGAAAATATTTTCTAGTCCATTTTCCGATTTCAGCTAAATATCGAAAACAAACAGACCCTAAATTGTGGTACTTTTTCTAATACAACTCACTCATGTATCTCAATATATGCTTATCATGATAGATCCAACTATCTTTCTTCTGCATATACATACTAGGCAATGCTTCTCTAGAAGGTAAGCATCTTCAATATCAAGCAAATGCGAAGTTACTTGAAAACAATGACCTTCTGGCCAAAGCTGATGCATTTGCGTTCTTCAAATCTATTTTCGTTTACCTTTTGCAATGATGGCTAATGCTTAACGTGCTGCGATTCATACTTTTCACCGAGGAGGCATCTTCAATGATACGATTTCCCAACTTGATGTTCCCTTGTCCAAAATGATCTTTTCCTTTGAATGTTCCACCAAAGATCAATTTCTTCAACACCTCCTCTTCTTTCCATACAGGTCGGCTGCTTTCGCATCATCATCAATTGACTCCCATTTTGATTCGCTCGTAGATTTTTGCTCTTTCCAGACTTTTTTCTTTTCGAGCTCTCGCGTTTGTTCCACGATAGCGGCTTCTCTCGACATCAAGGGGCATATTTTCAATTAAAGAAAAAAAAGCAGGGGAACAAACTTAAAAAAAAATAAATGAAACATCAAGGCAAATCGTGACGGTCCAAAAAGTCCGGG